TCGCATAAATAATTTTGTTCGAAGAACATTTATATGCAGTTGTACTTCGCAGCACTTCACTTGCAATTTGCAATTTCTAGTTTATTTTGTTTACTTGTGCACTTTCCTGTGACCTAGGTTTCATACACCAAAATTTATTTAACATGAGACTAAGCAATTGATAATAGTTTCAATTCTTTATAAACAATATTATTTTCAATAGAACATAAACTTTTCATTCATTTAAAGGTGCAATATGTTATTTTTTCAGTATTATGTAGAATCATTATTAATGTACCATTACTTAAAAGTAGTGTTATGTTTGAGAGAGGCACAACAGTGGGTGAATTTGGAGGGGAGGTTGTCTTTTTTTTTTACGGTGCCTTGACAGTCTGCGGACTATGGAAGTGACTGACCTCTACCAATGTATACTTTATTGTCATAATCAATATGAAATAAAACAAGACGACCCCTTTGTTTCATCGTCGGTATTTACTTTTTTGCTGTTTTTTTGGTCTTGATACTGCATCTAGCTGGTTGAAAACAGGGCCAGATGTATGGCCAATCTTCCAAATGATACCATTTAAAAGTGCATTCATTGATACTATCTAGTAGCTTAATTTCAGTAGTAGTAAATTTGTGTGTTACAGATGATCCACACATACAACGAACATGATTTAAAAATCAAAAATTGTTATGTGTTTCGCATATGAAAAGACCCCTGTTTTTCGATCGTAATTTGCTATTTAAGCCTCATTTTATACGCGAGAATATACGGTATTGGAACTACTACCAGTAAACTTGATTTATTAGAAAATAATAATCTCGTACTTCACTCCATTTGGTTTTGAAATTAATACAATAGTTCACAATTGACTTTAACTTTCTTGAATTTACTATGGATTACATTAGGGTTGTCAGTTAAAGGGCCATCATTCTATTAACCCCATAATCAATACCAGTCAGTAACATTTGTGTTTCCTTTGTGTGATAAATGGAATTGGTAAAGGGAGGAGGGTTTTATCTATTTAAACTCTACTGACACTACAGGGCCTACTGAGGCGATTTACAATTGTGTAATGCACTATGCGAGTAGATTTCCACTTCCTTTTCAATATAACTTGTGTAATTTCAAAGTATCTTCCATGATTTAATAAAGCAGTACATAGCGCCCAAACACACTTAATAGTTACATCGGTTCAGGAGAAGCCTTTTTAGTTGTGAACATCAATAAAAAAATTTTAAAAATAAAATAAAAAAATGTTTATTGTTAACATTTTTAAGTTTTAAAACCAGGTTTTGTGTTATTTGTGGTCTGAATTTCCTTGTTAAGGTTGAATGAATATTTTGAATCCCCCCAAAAAAATAAACAGCTTAGCTCAATTCAAAAGAACATAAAGGAGAGTCATACCACAGCAAGTGGTAACATTAACTGTTACAGTCAAGATTTCAATCAGCATTCATAAAGCATAATAGATAATCAGTATAATCTTTATAATCGCTATAATCGTGCACACGCTGCCTGTCATACTGTGAATAGGCAAACCCATAGAAGTTAATGGACTTGTAAGTAAACCCCTCTTGATAACAACCTTGTATAAATACCTGTAGATACTATTATTGTCACCAGCCACCAGCAACAAGTTAGTTCCCAGTAGGACACCTGCAACAGGTGAGATTGTAAAAATTCACCTGGTAAAATATGGCTTACCTGTCCTGTTCTGATTTACAGGATCATCTGAGCATGGAGGTATAAATCTGAGTGTACACATATTATTGTTTGTTATATAAATTCTGTTTTGACTTTTCCATATAACTACTACATTTAATTTTTACTTTCGAAAGTATTTAGCCCTCCAATTACAGATTTTGAACCAAAAATAACATACAAACTCATAAGATGACAACTTAATGAATTATGGTAGAGCGGAAATATACAAGTTAACTCGTCGACTGTCAATCCTTTTTCCTAGCTTCGTCCTATGTGCCAAGGCATAACAGGCACCACCATAATGAAAATCATTCCATCTACTGTGGTGAAACATAATCGAATATTTAGTATGTTTATTTAGACCTACTTCCAGGTTCTTCCCGGAACCTGCAGGGTGAATGTTTGTGTTCTGGTGACTACTGCCATGGAGTTACGTGTCTGGACAGTCGTGGACTTGAACTCGCATCCTTGCACCCTTTTCAGTGAACTTGTTAAAACAGGAAACAGCATCTAATGTACACATTGCTTCAAAGTAATATGCCAATGCCTATCCTAACACAATTTTAGCTTAAAGCCTTAACTACCCCAAGAGCAACCAGGCAAGCATATTGAACGAATGCAACATCAAGTGAGATTAAAATTGTTACAAGTTAGAAACATTTTACCTACATGTATGTAAATTGGGTATATAAAAATCTCAGATTTATCCTTTAATTATTTTCAGTTATCGTTATTTTGTTTTTTTCTTTTTTAGCTGCTTGGGGAGCATGGTATGCGCGTACGTGACTTGATAGCTGACGTCATCTTTCAGCATAAAATGCCGCATTTTCGTGTGAAGTTGGCTGCCAGTCGAGCTGTCGTAAATGAAGATGCTGATGCTGTTTTGTTGTTTGATAAGGAAATCGTGATTGAAGTTCCCAAAGATGAAGATTTTGGCACAGGTACTGTATGTGATATAACATCAGTATTTTATATTAAAAGTATTTTCTACCAAATAAAATATCTTTGAAAATGGCTTTATTTCACATTATTGCTTAACTCACTCTCTCTTCCTATCCCTTCTTTATCCTTATCTATATTACTTTTTCCACCCTTTTCTAATTTCCAAATCCTTTCTCATTCAATTAACTTGTTTACCCCAGCTTTCCCACCCATCTCTCATACTATCATTCCTATTTCATATTTCGCCCAACCCCCACCCCCCACTTTTTTTCCTTTCTTACCCAATCTCTTACACCATTTGTTTCCATCTCATTCTTTTCACTTATCCCTCCCTTCATATTTCTTTTTGTGATTCTCTTAAACAACCCTACTGTTTCAAACTTTACTGATCCTACACCTCCTCCTCATCATATTTGTATTAATACCATCATCCTCATAATTCTTGTTTTGCACATCCTTTTTTCCCGTCCTCTTATCCAATCCTCTCTTGTTTCCATCCTTTCTGACCCTATCTTTCCACGTCTCATTTATATTTGTCTTATTTATATCTGTTCCTCATCATATATTTAAAAAATATTTCCATCCTCTTATTCCACTCAATTCATTATTCAATTTATATCCTTGTTCTGTTCGCCTCCCACTTTCTCTTTACCATTTTACAAGAATTAGTTTCTCATTTTATTTTATCCACCACTCTGCGCCTATTTCTCTGTATCGTTCCTCAATCCATTTTTCTCCCACTTTTGATGACTTGATCATCATCTGTTCTGTTCTTACACTATAAATCTGAGGATTACGTAAGATGTGACGTACAGAATTATCGTAGTGGGAAGCCTGAAATATTTTAGGTTAGAGAAGAAAAAGTTTGAGTAAAACAGAAATATAAACCCAACGACAAAAAATACAAATATTGACATAGTCAAGGTACAGTAAAACAGAATGTAGTCGTAAATGACATAGTCAAGATGCAGCAGCAACATTGTTGTAAATCAAACATGTGAAATATTAATATTTCCTTGCCTACTTCAAGTACATACAATAATTTATTTATGTGAGACATCTTCCCATACTCTTTGATTATTTTCTTGGTCATTATTACGTTGTGATTTATTTCTTGCTATAAAATTTTATGTTTCCTGTCGTGATTTACATAGGTGATGATAAGGTGTTGTACTGTTTGAAAGCTTTGGCTTATACAGAGGAAAGCTACCTGGCACTCTTGCGGAGCATACAAACCACATATGCAAATCCACTGAAGTAAGTTACACAGTAAACTATTAGACCGGCGAACATTGTAAATAATTGTAAAGATTCATATATGCGATGCATTTGAGAATGTTGTGTCCTTGGGAAACTCTACAGGGTTCAAAAACTCCATCTAGTATAGACGAATCCAAGAAGAATGGCGCCCTCTGTTGTTGACACCATTACTGGAGAGTCCGGGACTCGTCCTTACACCTAGTCCTACTCCTAAAATGTTAATGCGGTGTGGTTATAAACACAGAACCATTGAGAAATCTGAATAATGCCGTCAGTCTTCAAACTAAAAATTTATCATAGTTAAGTATATTTCGTCTATTTAAACATCTTCCAACTTCGGAAATGCCACCCCAGTAATTGCATCGACAAAAGAGGGCGACGTTCAAAAAAGTTCTCTTGGATTCGTCTATATAGCTTAGATGGTAGCTAAATATCATAATAGTCCTTTAACTATAGCTGTATTTTAGTCAGCACTTTGACGGACTTTTTGGCTTAGTGTTTGCGGGTTCTGCATTGTAAGTGTCTACTTGTTAAACACTTAACATAAACTATAGTCTGTTAATATCAGTGTATTAAGTGCTAAGTAGATATTAACAGACTCTGTATAGAGCAATTTGGTTTAACAGATAGGCAAAGAGAAATACTGTAGTTATAACTCTACTGTTAATAATTAATGTCCCCAGCCTGTACTTCCGAATCCGCCACTGGCACCGCCAGTGGTTAGTCTTTCCTCCCAATGTCAATACCTTATGCCAAAAGATTATAGGTCTAACTATTTAAAAGTTTTCTACTATAAGTATACAGTACTAATAAATATATTACAGTATAAAGGAATTTGAGTAGCTATCAGTAAATATAATAGTAGCAGTAAGTATTATACAGTATATCCTGTATATCCAATATCCTGCCTGAAATAATAATAATAATAAACTGGTACCTGAAAACCCCAGCAAAAACTAACCCATTAAAAAAGAAAAACGGTAGAATTAGAAGTGTGTATTATTAGCACTTTTATGACTGAAAGTAAATATTTATTTGTTCACCCCAATCATTGGGGATTTTATCAAGTAAGACACCCCTTTTTCTTGGCTCTAAATTTATATATATTGAAATTTATAATTACAATTGGAATACCACTGAATACCATTTAATATTCAATATTTATAATTATTAAACTCAGGCCAAAGTTTGTATGTAAACATTTCTTTGTTTTTTTATGTAGATGTTAAACTTGAACTTTGACACAGTTGTTAACTTTGATGCAGATATGAAGTAATGTTGATTAGGATGTTTGGAATACTTTACTAAGTATTTTAAAATCCCTCCCTCTCTCCCTCATCGTGGATATCAAATTATACACCAATGATGTGTCGCTGTCAATCAGTACTCAAAGGCTGGCTAGCAATGCCACTAATGAACAACCTGGCTTCTTGTCAATAAATATCTAATTTGTTGGGCCTAGGAGCTCTGTTTATTAGGCCAAATACAATTAATCGTTAGTTTCATGTCCGGCATTTGAAATTATTTTTGGTGAGGGTATTAACTATTTAGTAACCTTACTAGTGTTATCTGTCCTATTATTAGATAGGTTGCAATCCCTTCACATAAGCATATACAATACTCAACAAAGTCTAGTGGGAGTTCCATGTTTTGTTGTGAAAAAATCATGGAATCTGACAGGATTTGAACCCAGGATCCTGGAATTGGAAGGCAAGCTATTCAACCATATCTGATTTCTATTTTAGTAGATTTTCAGATACCCAAATGTTTAAGACAAACAGCTTTAAAGGTCATTTTTCCCATCAGCAGGCAAACTGTTGTCAAACTGATAATAGGCATGTTAATCTAAATCTATGTAATCTCTTTAATCACATTCAAATCTCGTACAACTCTTGAGAGTTCATTAAAATTGTTATGCAATGATTGGTGACCATGGAGGATTTGTACCTCCATGATCATGGACATAAAATAATTTGTCCATTGTTGGTCAATCAAACAACTCAAGGAGATCATTTCGTTTGAAGCAAGACATCAAACTCCCTAAACATCTTCCCCGCCCCCTTGGCAGGCGTAGTATTCATTAAACAAGAATAACATTTTCAATCTTGTAATCATTATATAGCCGGAGTTCGTTTCGACCTTGCCAAACCTTGCTAAAGAGGTACACTTCCTCCTTAAGGCTTCTTCTGAGAATGGGATGACCTGTTCGAAGCATGAATTCCTGCAGACCAAGCCCAGTACCGTCATGATGTTCAATCATGCGGGAAATCCCTCATGATAAAATATTTAAAGATACTGATAGTCTGACATGTTTATGTTACATTAAGCTCTGTACAGTACCAGATTATAAAATTTCCTTTGACAAAAGTCTTGTATGCCCATATATAGTCATGATGTGCCTATATATGGTCATGATGTGATGTCATCAATGACCATATTTAGGCACGTCACATGTTTTTGTCAAATAATGTTTGATAGTCTGTGCAGAGCTTACGCTGTCATTTGGATGGAGTGTGTTTTTTCAGTTATTTGTCATTATGACATGTATTTCCTTTTTTTTAGAGTTAATTGATTTGATTAATAAGAAACTAATGGAAAGTAAATAATTTTTTTTCAGGAATGAGGTATTGCTGACTGAAGAAGAAAATGACACGCTGTTTGGTAAATTAGAACCAATCTTAACTGCCAGCTCTTCATTGCTGAAAAAGGTAACTTAAATATTCTACATATAATTAAAAAAATATATAACATATTATCATCTGAAAATATCATTGTATGTCAAATTATTAAAGGCGGACGCTCACTGTGCAAGACGGTCGTCGCGATTCTATGAAGAACGCAATGCGATGACGCGCGTGCAACCAACCATTTTTTAATGACTATCCATTCCACTGCCACTGACAATCAGCAGTCAGCATCGCGTCGTCTATCGATCACACAGAACGGAGTTGGATTCATCATGCGACGGTCGTACGACTCTCGTATAACGCGGTGAGTACCTGCCTTAACAGATCAAATAAATACAATTTCAGCAAATCGTAGAAGCAACTATATGCGATACTTTTTTTCATACCTTGTTACGCGAACTTATTTTTTTAAAATGGGTGGGAAAAAATAAGAATAAAATTTTATTTTCTTATTTAGCAAATAGTTTTGTCAAAAACAGCCAGAATGAGGTGAAAATGAAAATGAAATGGTGAAAGTCAACAGAATGCGATGGTTAAATTCTTTAAATTTGCATAATTATGCAGAAATATACATACCTTACTGTGTGGTGATTTCGAGGCAGTGGAAGCTAAATAAAAATAAAGAAACTTTTTCCGTAATTTTAATTTTTCATGGCAAAAGGTGCACAAATTGGCCAAAAATAAAATTTCATTTTTTTTTTTTTTGAAATCAAAGTTATTGGCGGGCAGCGAGTCCGCTAAACAAGGTATAAAAAAACACTCGCCTAAAATACATTAATCAGGGGTGCTAAACATAGCCCTAACTAAATACGTTTTCCAATAGTAGTCAATAGTAGATTTTACTGATGTACGGTATAGCAGAATATGGACAATTGTCAAAATTCTTACATAAACATTCATCATGTTGTTGTGCAGGTGGATTAATATTGCAAGAATTTGAAGGGTTTATCTTAAATGTCAAGGCTTTCTCATCAGTGTAATTAATCATGCTATTCTAGGATTTCAAGTGTTTTTTTATTCTCAAGGCTTTCGCTTATAAGTTTGTAATTACTAATTTATAGTCAAAAACATGTGTAGCGCTCCTCCTGCCAATTTCCAGGTTGTAGGCCCTACTTTTGACAAATGTCTGATGTAACAAAAGAACTTTTTATCTGGTATTTTGCGTGCTTATTCCTGTTTTCGCTTATTCAGCATAAATCAACTAGCTCAGCAATATCTGAGGCTGGCTGTAAGCTACAAACATAATTTGAACTAAGCTGGTTTAGAGATGGAATATAGAAACCTTAAAAAATTAATGAAGATGAAATGTATAAAAAAATCTGAAGAGTTTGGTGTAGGATGCAAAAAAAAGGCAAAAAATTCAAACTAAATTTATCAATAGCTAGATAAAGAGAGAAGTACAGAAATAATGAAGTTTTAAAATGCCTCCCCCCTCCTCCATTGAAAATATTTGGAGCAAAAAAATCATGCTCAAGTGTTAAAAAGCACCTCATATCAACTTATTTTGCAAGCTAGTGTCCCCTCACCTAATCATTGAGCCCCCGCTCTACACCTTCATACCCACCATCATGTCCCCCCTCCCCACTCCATATTTCAAGACTCAGGATGAATAAGAGGTAAAATGAAGATTTTAAAAATGGGAGAGTAAGTTTAGAAGGTAAATGGGAAGGATTGTGATTATTTGAACTTTAGTAGTGTCCAAAGATTGCATAAGATAGAGGAGGTATAAAAGTTACTGTAAGTGAAAAGTAGAATCCAAGAAATCAGTGTATGTTGCAAATAGAATTAAAGTGATGTGAACTTTGCAAGATAATAATAATAATAATAATAATAATAATAATAATGTTATATTTATATATCTCATAATGCCGGAGCTTCTATGCGCTTCACATAAACAGAAAAAATATTTAAAAAAACCCAAAAAACTAAAACACGAAATAACCTAAAACTAACCAAGACCAAGATAGAATGAGATAAACAAAAAAAATGAAAGATACGGAAGTTAAAAGAATTAAATTCCATAGAGGCTAGTTTAAGCTGCAACCAAAAGAAATTCCAAAAATTAGGAATGTGCTTTGAACCTTGCTAGGTAAGAGATAAAATGAAGATAATAATGAAGGCGGTAAAGTTGAGTTAAATGGCCGAGCGTTTAAGACAGGAGCGCTACAACCTAGCCACAATATTGGCGATAGTTCAAGCAGCACCCTTGAATCGCGCTCGCCTGTGGATATGGTGGTGGAACAAGTCTTCTTGGATAAAGGATTATAAACTGTAGGCCCAGGGTTCACATTTGGCTCATCTTTCAAGATGAATAGCTTACCCTGGTGTACTGGTCCATGCAGCCCTGTTGTGAATAGATCACAGTTGGAAGGCACTGGTCAGCCATGAAACTGTCAACCTACTGACCATGTTTTCCTAATCAAGCATTTGTTTCTTTTTTTATGCTGATTTCCCTTACTACCTACAGTAATAAAAGTATGATGAGTTATTTATCTTTTAATCTCAACTTTTAATAAATCATTTGTAGCTTTCTTCTTCTGATCGTGATCGTTTCTAACCAGAGTTTATGAAGCTTATTTTGTATTGTTTTTGTTAAGTCACCATATTAGAGGTATAGAAACAACTTCTAGGTTTTCCTTTAATGTTTCCGCTGCTATCTTTTTATCAATTAATAGAATCTGACGTTTGAGTACTTGCCGACAATACCTGTGGGTTATACCTGTGAACTAATCCTGTTCTTTTATAAGGCTAACTAACATTGGGTGTTACAAAAGAATAGAAAAAAAACCTTGATTGATTGTTTCTTTTTCTTAACTGTTCTTATTGTGTGTGGATTATTTGTTGGAGATTCCACACAGCTCAGCAAATCCAAAGACGTTAGACCTGAAAATTTCATTAACTCTACGGTTTTGTTTTAATTTGTAAACAATGAAAGTGATGTGTTTGTTGAAATAGAGAACTGTTCCTTTGGCAGCTAGTTCAAATAGAGTATGTCTCCAGTTTTTTGTCGTAAAAGAAACATCCCTTTCGTGACCTACTGTAAAGGAATAATATGTACTACTGTAGGGTCTATATAAATAGCATGTTGTTGTTTTTATAGATGTTGGACTTCTTAGGTTAAATAATGAACTGTACTTGGAAC